GGCCGCGCTTCCAGCCGGGCGCGCACCCGGCTTGCTGCCACAGCCGAGCGCTGCTGGCACGAGAAAACGCCATCGGGGAGCGGAAAAAAACTGTTTTTCAACTTAAAACATTTTCAAACTGCAGATTAGCACGTGCAGGTCTTCTGAATTGTGTTATTTATTCCGCGCGAGGTGGTTTTTGGCAGTCTGAAAGGATTGGTGTGCCGCTGACATCTTTCTTTGCTTTTGTTCCAGAAGTGCTGCGGATCAGCCTGTCATGGAGGGAACCAGGCAAACCAGGATTTGCCGTCCGCACAAGATAAGTGAATCCTCAAAGGTTTGTGCATTTTTGTCTTGCCTACCAAAAAAGCAAATTACGGAAGTAACAAGAAGGGGCTGTAAAGGCTCTCACTTGTACAGACTGTTTTGGAGGAATGTGAATATTCTGAGCTTTTAAAAAGAAGTGTGAAAACGGTGGTCTACCTGCTGAAATATTTTTGATACAAGAAGTTGCTACCTAGTGATTAAAAAAAAAAATCAAGCAGCAGCAGCAGCAAATGGGCATCTGCTCGTCATGACTCATAACTTAAAAAAGAAACCCACATCATCACAGCACAGTATTTTCTTTACACCAAAAATTCAGTCATTAAATGCAATGTGTTTATTCTGGGAATTTTTCGTCCTTATCCATCTCAAAATGCAAACTAGTTACAGGAGCAAAGCTGGGATTATTTTTTAGATTTAGTCTTTGTTTTGTACAAGATGGGAATCTTGATCCTGCAAACAGTAGTTATTCCAGTGAACTTGAGATGTTTCATAGGTTTGTGAGGTTATTTTCTTTGTATGGAATCTCTCTCTGCGCAAATACATTGATTTGAGTTGGGAATCCATGGAAGTCCATCTTAGGTAGCTCTTTATGTAGGTCATCTAAGATTTATAAGATGTTAATATCAGCTGTAATTATGTTCGCTTTGTTTCATACCAGTGAAAACTGCTTTTCTGTTCCAGTATGAGCACTAGGTTGCGGATGCTGCAGAGCAAGTACCTTGTATTACCAACAACAGCTAGAAGAGAGAAACTTCTCAGTGTCTGTCTTATCAAAGTTGAATGAGACAGATCTTGTTTTCTTTTGCATCACTGACAAGTAGTGGTACTGCATTAACAGTCTGAAAGAAATCGGATCTTTGAGTCCGAAAGAAGTTAAAATACTACTCTAATACAATTGATAAAAGATAAATAGGAATAATTTTTAAATGCGTCCCTACCAGTATAATCTTTCTCTGAGGGCTGATCCTGTCTACCATTTAAATGGTTTAGTCTGAATGTAATAATAATTCATCACATTAAAAATTAATTAACTTGACAGCATTGTTTTATTTTCTTGCTTAGACAGCAGCTGTCACTATCTGTTAAACTTAGAATTACTAGATAATGCTAAAGCTGTTCTACAGAGTATAAATAGCTTGAGAAAGATGTTCATGTTTAGTATAAAATTAGTCTTGGTTTTGAAAAGTGCAGCTATCAGCTTCTGTTACTTGCTCACTGAATGAATGAACTTGCTAAGTGGCTGAAATATGTTAATATATTCTGAGTCCATCCAATGCCATATGTAATGATTTTTTGCTTGATTCTGAAGGGGCAGCAGTTCTACATGGCAACAAGGATTTTAGGAGTACAGGTTGTCAGGCGTATTTGCGGTCAGGATTATGCTGCTAGCTAAGTAAATAGGGATCTCTGGCAAATCTTACATTCTGGTGTAATCTTGTTATGCACAATGGTGGCATTAGAGAATATTAGACAGAAATGATCAGCCAATTTACAGAGACGAAAGGGGATATGTTTTTGGTTTAATCCAATAACTGTCCCCCATGAGTCAGATTCAGAAGAGGGTGCTGTAAGGTATCAGCTATTGTCTGTTCATCCTCTGTCCTTTCTCATAGTCGCCACAAATGTGTGGTTTGTCCTTTGCCATATTTATTCTTTTTCCCGTCTCCTCCATCCCCTGGTCTCTGCTTGGGCTCCTGTATGATACCAGCTTTTCTCAACCTCAGAAAAATGAAGATAAAAAACTTCACAGTCCTTAAACCCCATATTTTCTGTTCTGTTACAGATCTCTGGCAGTTTTATTCCTCACTGGAAGTTACTTTGTTGTCTATGCCATAGATCCCTTTCTAAGTTCAGAGATATGATGAGGCAATGAGTATAAGGCAAAGTGTTTTGGCCCAGAAAACTTATAATTACTGAAGCCTCTTCACTTAGATTGGTTTAACTCTGTACACTTGCATGTACAGTTACTCCAACGAAGGCTTTTTGGCAGCTTAGTCTCCATTGTTTAGAAAAGAGCATAAGCAAAACTAAAGAGAAACCACTGGGATTATCACACTAAGGGCAGCACATTTGGTTATTAATTTGGGTCTCATCTTTGGCAGGCTGCCTGTCGCTATACCACTGCCTGCTAAAAGGCAGGCGTGGGAGGTCAGGCTCCCAAGGTTGCTATTAGCTCAGGACGATTGGCTGCCATCGTGTCTGGACAGCGGCGAGCTGCGGGCATTAATCCTGGTTATCTCATCGTAGAAAAGTAAAATTACCAAATTATGTACACAGAGTAGGTATCTAGAGTGAGGGTTGCGTGCAGGGGAAAAGACTTGGCTCTAGGACTTGAACCTTTCCCATCCAGGTGGTTAAGAGAGGTTGTCTCACCATGATTTAACCAGCCCATTAATGGCTTAGCCAGACAGCAGTAATCATGTGCTTTCTGTTTGGGAAGCTGGGAAAGCCACAGATAGTTAGGATTTCTAGGAGAAGCAACCAGTTTGGTGAAGGAAAGGCTGAACGCCTGAGAGGCTTGAAGAGACCTCAGGTCATCGGCATGACTGTTTTCAGTGTAGATACGGGCTGAGACGCCTTTTCAGGGTGTCACTTCTGGGAATGCAGTCTGAGGGTCTAGAACTGGGCAAGAGCCAGGGTCCTACAGCCAGAACCCTTCAGAGCTAACTTAGGTACGATACAAAGATGCGCTTCCTTTCCACCTCCTTTCATTTCTCTTACGTGTTCTTACAGGCTCTGCAACTCTGCTTGTTTTGGATTTGGTAATTAAAGTTATGTATTTGCATTTAACTTAACCTGGCTTTTATTAAGAGAGATCACAAGGTAACTGACTGTACCATCAAGCATTCCATTCCTCCAGAAGGATGGTCCTGAAAGCTGCGTTGCTTGACGTACTGGGGTGACCAGCCCCTTTAATACGTGTTCTGCAGGACATTCAAGGGGTAACAAAACGTTTCCATTTTGGTTCTTCTTAAGACTGGTAACACGAGTCTGTGAGAAAGAGGCGAACAGTGGTTGCCTCAAAAGCTCTGTGGCACGTACAGAGCTGGTGGGAAGAATGTCTGGACAGAGGGATTGCAGAAAGGCACTTAGCGGACATGTTCTGAGGGCACTTTCCCCTTTCTTTAAAATAAAAATCTTTAGTCATATTCATTAAAACAAAAACTACCTCAGCTTCTGGAAGCAAGTAGAAGTCTTATGGGAATAAGTTATCCACATGTGTGGCTTTGCACATAAATAAACAGCTATTATTTTTGAATGCAGTGTGTGTGCCTGGAATAATATGGTAAGAAAGAGAGGGATTTTACCCTAACGAGCTTAGAAATGCAGAGCTCCAAAAAGATTTAAGAGGGGGTAGCTGTCAAGTAAGCACTAACCCAAACAATACACGGGCTGAATGAAAATTTGGCATACTGCTGCATGTGTGTCTCCCACTGCAAATATTTAGCGAGTAGCTTAGTTGAGAAGAACTCTGTAAGGAGTTATTTGGGGGACAAGTAAGAAAGGACATGTCAGCAAGATGTCTCGAAGACAATGAGTGGAAGAGTTTCAGAAAATTGTGCCTGTATAAATCATCAGGGAGGAGGTTTGGATGCAGCATTGTGGAGGAGGTAGGAGTAAATTACCAAAAAAAAGGGGAGTAGGAAGCAGTAAAAGTCTGCATAGGCCTTCCAAAGTGAAGGTGAGGAGCTTGGGCTCGTACTATGTTGCTTGTCAACTGTTTCAAGTCAGAATTTATTACAAATGTGCAACACAAGTGAGCTTTCTCTGTCTCGTGTATGACTACATCTAATGAGAAAACACTTTGTGCACACTGAAATTTATCTTGGTGAAGATAACATCTGCCCGGTACTCTTTCTTTATTCCAGGTGTATAGGTGGGATGACCACTCCAGTCTAGTTCTTCAGAGCCTGAATGAGCAGAGGCATCGAGGCCTCTTCTGTGACATTGTCCTCGTGGTGGATGAACAGAGAGTCCCTGCCCATCGGAACCTCCTCGCTGTTTGCAGTGACTACTTCAACTCTATGTTTACCATTGGTATGCGAGAAGCCCACCAAAAAGAGGTTGAACTTTTTGGAGCCTCTTATATTGGTCTCAAGGCCGTGGTGGATTTCCTTTATGGCAGCGAGCTGTCTTTAGATGGAGGCAATATTGACTATGTGCTCGAAACAGCTCACCTGCTGCAGATCTGGAAGGTGGTCGACTTCTGTTGCGAGTATCTGGAGAATGAAGTCAGCGAGGAGAACTATTTGTACCTGCAAGAGCTAGCCTCTATCTACAACCTGAAGCGCCTTGACTCCTACATTGATTCTTTCATCTTGCAGAACTTCGGCACGCTGTCTTTCACCCCGGACTTCCTGCAGAACATTTCCTTGCAGAAGTTGTGCCAATACCTGGACAGCAGCAACGTGCAGCAGGAGTGTGAGCACGACTTGCTGCAGGCTGCCTTGCAGTGGCTTACCCAGTACCCGGAAAGGGAGAACGAGGCTTACCAGGTTCTGGATAACATTCATTTTCCCTTGATACCTAAAAGTGATCTCCTCCATCGAGTCAAACCTGCTGTCTGCTCTCTTCTTCCCAAAGAAGCAAACTGTGAGGGGTTTATAGAGGAGGCGGTGAACTATCACAATAACGTCACGGCTCAGCCAGTGCTGCAGAACAAGCGGACGGCCCTGCGGACCTGCGAGGAAAGGCTCCTCTTTGTGGGTGGGGAGGTTTCCGAACGGTGCCTGGAACTGAGTGATGATACCTGCTTCTTGGATGTCAGAAAGGGGCAGTGGGTAGCAGAAACCCCTCTCCCAGCCAGACGAAGTCACCACTGTGTTGCCGTCTTGGGAGGCTTCATCTTCATAGCCGGAGGCAGCTTTTCAAGAGACAATGGAGGGGATGCAGCTTCAAATCTCCTATATAGGTATGATCCCCGCTGTAACCAGTGGATAAAGGTGAGACTTAAGCTGTATTATTTCTCTGTTTAAAGTCCTTAACGTTTAGAGTGTTTTCTTCTTTTTGGTGAAAGGACGGGGCTCATTAGAATAGCCAAGACAGCAACACTTGCAGGTGGAAATTCAAGTTACTTAAGTTGAAGAAACAGCTACTTGAATCCTTTGTGGGAATGCTTAAGTTACACAGCAAAAGAGTTTGGGGCAGATTTTCAACTTCACTTGGGATTTGGGCGTCTCATCTGTGACATTCCTGGTCAGCATCTACCTGCAACTCTTTAGATTATTTTTGGGAATAATGCTAGAATGGACTTAAGGAGGTGATTGCTTAGTTCATCTCTCAGCAGCAGTGGCACATACAACTAAATCAAAAATGGATCTGATGTAAAAAGAGAATGTCTCTGTGCTAAATGTCTCTTAGAACAAGCTATTCACTTTCAGTCCTGCTGTAAAATCCTGTGGCCAGTGCAGGTTCTTGTATGCACCAGTCATCCTTTGTGGTTCGGTTGTGGTTTTGAGTGGTTCCAATATATGTTTCTCGCAGAGTTTTGGAAAGAGGCCCACGTAACACAAACACTTGTAGAGTAACCTGTCTCTTAGATGCCTCCTGTTGTCCCGTTTTTTGAAAATGAATGCTATGTAACATGCTACTGCAGAAAACCAAAAGTATTTTATGAATATAATGGTCAAAACCAGTAGCTCTCCTTTCCAAACAAATGGGAAGAAGCAGCCATCCTATCCTCAGACATGAATATACCTTAAGTCAGCTTGCTTGCCAGATGTTTGAAGATGTCAGCATGTTATTTTTTTTTTTGACAGGTTGCCTCCATGAGACAACGCCGTGTAGATTTCTACCTGGGAGCTATTACCGACATGCTGGTAGCTGTTGGTGGCAGGAATGAAAACGGGGCACTTTCTTCAGTTGAGACCTACAGTCCTCAGAAGGATTCATGGTCCTATATAGCAGGCTTGCCCAGGTAATAGAGATGTTTGGAAAGTTATCCTGCGTTTGAAGAACGGTAGTAAAGGGAGCTTGTGTGACTTTAGCTGGTGAATGGCTATACCTAGAAGGGAGGCAAGGGGATGTATAACCAACGTGGTATCAGCAAGTAACAAACCGTATCAGCATTTGGTATTTGAGCAACCATCTCTTCCAGGCAGCGTGCTTCATGTCAGCTTGATTGGTTTTAATTTTTTTCCTGAGGTAGGTCTGGAGGATGAGAGGGAGAGCTCTTGTAATTTCGCTCTACTATTCTTAGAATATTTTTCCTGAGGTCGCTTGGAGTTGAATCTTTTCAGAGGCACTGTTTAGATCTTGATCAAAGGCTTTTATAATTTATTTGGCCTTACTTTGTCACCTTGGAGTGATTGTTTTCTTTGTAAGGTGTTTCTCTCTGTTTGGCTGCTCAGGTTGGCTGTTGCAGATAAATGACGTTTACCTGTATTACAAATAGATAATCCCAGCAAATGTGACCTCTCTTTCTCTCCGAGTTAAAATTTAGCTGCTCTGCTTTTGAGACGCTTTAGTACTGCAGCTCTTCTTGTAACAGCAGCACAGGGCATTGCTAGTATTTTGAATCGACGTTTGAGTGGTGACTTTGTAAGAATGGTACGATAGCATTTCATTTGCAAACATCTATTCAGGTTTAGTAATATTTCACATTCTTAGAAATTACAGGAGTATTGGCTACACAGATGGTATTTTCATTATGTCTGAAACGTGCAACTTTGGCAGCGGTGCTTGCTTTCTTGGTGGCATCATGAACAATGTACTTGCAATTGGATTTCAGAATTCGGGCTTTTTTCCCTTATTCCCTTAGCTGCAGAGCTGCAGAGCCATAGGCAGCCAGTGAAGGCACAGACGCCTGTTGCCGAATTCTATTTTGGGTAGGTGCTGCAATGTGAGTCTGATCCAGGCTAGCAGCTGGGCTCGAGTGCTCTTCAGAAGCAGGATGCTTTTTTCCATTTTATTTCTGCTCGCACAGGCAGACCTAGCAGTTGAGGCTAAACAGCACAGTCTTTCCTGGGAAGCTGTGTATGAGAGTGTCTTCAGTTCCTAAGCCTTGCTGTTAATTGGGGTGAGCTGTGAGGCCCCAGTAACACCTGGGAAAAGCACAGCTTTTCTTTTTTTTTTATAAACATTTTTCAGAGAAATGCAGATGTGACCTGACTGCCTTGTATGTTGTTAGAAAAACACTCGCCTTAGAACAGGTATGGATATTTTTTTCCCAGCATATAAGCGGTCCTGGGGAAGCTTGCGGACTGTAAGCTGTCTGAAAAGGGGCAGTTTTTCTGCGTGTTCCTACTGCTACCTGTGTGTTGGCTTTGGGAATTTTGCAGCTGCAGCATTTAAAAAAGTGAACTTTGACGTGAGGAGTGTTAATTTGTTATTAGATTGCCTAGCTGATCTGCTTGGACTAGGCAAAAGTCCCCCTTAGGGGACAGACCCCACTTACACTGACTTAGCTGGCTGCTAAACTGCGGGGTTAGGCTGTGGTACAGTGACCATTTGAAGTTATGGCTGCATCCCAGAAAAATAGTTCTGCCTTCTCTCTTCCTGCCTGCTCTGTCCTTGTCCCATGCTAACTGTCCCTTGTGCCAGCTCAGGTGTTTGTGCAGCTGCATAGTGAACTAGATAGCTTCCCACTTTTCCATGTAGCGGCTCTCTTGCACATTAATATGTCTTTAGTTAGATCTTAACAGACACTTAGTACCTTCAGATTTCCTGTCTTTTCAGCCCTCTTTCTCCTTTTGGAGAACTCTTGTGTTGGGCAGTATATTGTTTGCGGCAACCGTTTTTCTGCACAGAAGGAATAAAGTTCAAAGAACTTCATGCAGGTTGCAAAAGGCGCAAATCAGCGCAGAGGTGGACGACAGAAACCTCTGAAAGCAGGGGCAAGCGAATGCTGCTTGAGCTCAGAGACGTGGCTCTGGCAGGTCTGGGTGGCTGCTGAAAGGGATCTGGGCAGTCCTTTCCTGAGGTACTTCAGGTGGTTTTGCTGACAGCAGAGGAAGGATGAGAGAGAATTTTGTGATCTGTTCAAGACTAGAAGGCGGCATGCTAGCTGCAGTTCCTTCTGTGTACTCCTGTCTTCCCTTCAACACACTCTTGATCTGATCTCTGTTTTCCTCCCCACCACATGCTTTTGTTCCTCAAACTGATTTTAGTTACTGTTTTTACCCAAATAACATCTTCCCCAGCCCTATTCTAGAAGCAAGTCTTTTCTCCTCATGTAAAGGAAATCAGAAGCTCCAGTCCTCTGCTTCCTGATTATTGCTTGACCGGGCAACGTGTCCCAACGTAGCTGCCTTGTTTCCTGCACTTTTCTGTCTTCTTCCCTCTGAAGAGAAAATGTGCAGGTTTTTTGTCCTCTTGGGTGCATGGCCACCAGAAGCAGGCTCCCTGCCCGCAGCCCTGGTGTTGTTTCTGACTGCTCTAAGCCAGCAGCTGCCTGGAAGACTATTCCCTGGAGTGATAAGCACATGTTGAGGTCATGCTGGGGTGTAGGCTTGCGTAGTTCAAGTTGAGCTGTGTGGGGTTGGACACTCAGAAGTTGTATTTGTTAAAGCTTCTCCTCTGAACATGCAGCAAATGGTTTCATTTTTTTTCTTCCCAAGGGTTATAGCTTGCCCTGTGTGTGGAGATTTTCAGGGGAAAGGCAATGGCTGCGTCCTTGAATACACGACTCCTGTCCGCTGCCAGATCCTGTGTCCATGTTGCTGTACACAGGCACAGTCATGCTCCTCTAAAGGAAGAGCTTTGCAAGCTCTTTTTTATCGCTTCGTTCCCCCACCCCCTTCCCATCCCAACGTGGTCAAAACAACACGTTGTTTTCCCTAACCACTTTCTTGGAAGGAGCAGAGCTGTTTTGGCTGAAATAATGCTGTCTTACTGAAGAAGAAAACACAGCCTCTTGAGGCAGATGCTTAACGTGGAAAACTTCAGCCAAGCTATCTAAAGGGTGGACCTGGTCCAAGTTTGCTACAAATGAATTGAATTTTGCCTGACTCTCATTAGGGTCCTTGCTTGTGGGATACCTTTCCCATTCTTCAGAGAGGTCCTGTATTTTTTTTCACCATTTTCCCAGGCTCTTTGGGAGCAGTTGCTGCCATAGTTTCTAGCCCAGAAGGGAGCAGCGGTGGCTGACAAGTTTGGCAGAGCAGAAGTTGGTGCAATGTGTTCTCATCTTGAATAGACCATGAAAAAGTCTGCTGCAGACATCAGTGAAATTAACTGAGTGGCCCTAGGTTCTTTAACCTTTTGGCAGAACAACTGACAGCAGTTGTATGAGGAAATGTGTTGGAACAGGTTAACGAATGATGGTATCTGCTCTGCTAGTTGTGTCATGAATAATCTCGCAGCGTTGCAACAGGTGGACACCGAGATTCAGAGCAACCGCAGCTCGCCTGGACTTTGGTTGGAGTAGGGGATTCCCAAAGTTTTATCGAGTTAGACCAAGTGTTCTTCTGTTCAAGAAAATAAATGGTAGATTTTCTAGCATTTACTGAATGGTGTTACTGTGTCAGAAACTGTAATTTTTGCAGCATTGTATCTAGGTAAGTCATTCAAAATCGGCAGCTGGCTCTAGCAAATACTCTGAATTGAAACTCCTTTCTCCTTAATGCCTCTATCTTTTTCTGGCCACTCTTACAGGTAACGCTGCCAAAATGCTTGATGCTTTCTGTTGGAGGATGTCTGGACCCACTGTATTGAAGTGTCCTGTTCTGTTGCATGTTTACAAATGCTCCTGTTTAAACCACAGGGCTTGCAGAAAGGATTCTTATTGATGGCTTTCCATTTGTGCATTATATTTCATGCAGTTTTCTATTAATGTGAAGCCGGGTATGTGCAATTTTGGATGAGCTTTTCAGAAGTCAGGCAAAGTGAAACACCTCTAGCATATTTCAACGGGTAATCTCCCTGTATTGGAAAATAACAAACTGGTGGTCAATTTGCCGCTTCAAATGTGATTGCCTCTTTCAAATTACTCTTGCAGCTATTGCTGTCCACTAGACATAGCCACTGAGGCAAAAAGAAAAGCATCAGTGTTTTTTCTGTAGCTGTCTGTGCTAGACTGCTTGCATGTGCTTGAAAGAAAATATTTATTGCTTGCTTAGCTGTAGAGAATTCCACTTTTCAGTTAGTGCAGGAAAACATTTAACCTACTTCTCCAAAGATCACTCCAATTTTTCTTAACTTACTTTTTTTTTTCTTTTTTTCCCCCCAAATGCTGACTGTAATGTGATTGCTGTCAGCAGTATGATAACCCCGGGCTTTGTGTTGGATTCGGTGTCATTGCACTCTTCTCCTTCTGACTCCTCAAAACTAGCTGTTACCTGACCCTGCCTCCGCAGAGGAGCACACTGCACGTCCTCCAGGTAGCTTGCTGGTTAGATGTGGGTTTGAAATCTAGTGCAGTTCAAGAAAGGAAATGAATTCAAGTTGTCCATCCCACTTCCCAGACAGGTGGTCTACTTTTTAAGACCCATTCCTGCATATGGAGAGAAGCAAAGACTCTAGCAACCAGACTGGGTGCCACTGGAGACATACGCTCCCAGTTCTTGTCTGTAAGAGACCACAAACAAGTTAGAGCAGCATCTACGTACGCTAGACCTGCCATAGCCTTTCTGGCGGGTGCGAAAGCTGGAGTGCACGCGCTCCAGGTATTTCACGTCAAACAGAAGCACCGACCATGACTTATGTGCTTCTGTGGTTAGGCAGATTGTGAGCTGTGGAATTTTTGAGTTGCCTTTTTGGATAAAGTCTCATAACTATGCCTTAGTCCTCTCTTTTTTCTTTCTTTCTTTTTCCTGAGTGGCTAAGAAGCAGTACAGTTCTGAAGTCATCTCTGCAAGGTCTCCAGGGTTGGTGCTCCAGCCCCTGTAGTTGAAAGGTCTGTCCTGGTCTCTCAGCATTCTTAGGCCAAGTGTGTCAAGGATTTTTCTGTTTCTTGTAGCAGGAGCTGGTTAAAATATCTGATTCAGACACTGGTCAGGGATCAGAAGCTTTGGTAGGCATCTAGAATAATAAACATCTTTTAGCTTTTCTCAGAAGTGTTGTGCTTTCAGGGTAAATGCGGGTTTTCTTTTCTATTCCACCTTTTCCCTTGGCACTTAGGCGTGTGGAAGAGATTGTGTAGCTGAGAGAAACTATTACCATGCGAAATAAAAACAGCTCCAGGTTCTATCCACATTGACTTTCTAGCATGTTCAGGCACGGTTCAAAGCATTCCAGGCTAAAGTAATGCTAACGTAGGTTTGTCTGCCATAGAGGTTGAGTTGTCTTGAGTCCTTGGCTACAAAGGATGGTAGTAGAGACTCGTGAGTGCAGCATGTTGAGTATATTGCTCTGCAGCCCTATGGGTATTAAATTGTTCGGGCTCTTTGTACCGGGGTGTGAGCCGGTTTGCTGTGGCTGGTGCTGCAGCTACCTTATTGACACCCCTCACACCCAAAAAAAAAGAAAAAAAGGCATGTGCGGGAAGGGTATGTTCAAAGAAGCCGAGGCTGTCCCTCGCCTTAGCATTCCACTTCTAAGAGCTCAAAGGGGTTTGGTCAGGAATATCTTAGTGTGAAGTTAAGAACAGCCTGAAGAATTAGGTTTGTAGTGGCTTTATTATAGCTGATGAAAGGGGTTTTCTCTCTGCCCTGTGGAAACAGCGTGCATGGTGTTGGTTCTACCATCTCATTTTGTCTTACTTCAAACGTGGACTCTGATCTGTGACTGACTGAGGTCTGTTGCCTTGTCTTGGGGTGACCAAAGGAGTTATCACCTGTATAGCAGCAGCGGTAGAGCAGATCGGTAGCTCGTGAAAAGGACGCTACGTGTATCATGACTGCAAATAAACTGGGCTGTGAACACGAGCGGGTAAGAAATGTGATTCATGATCCTGAAGCTGCGGAAGGGGAAGGCAGCAGTAGTTTTCTTGTTGATTTTTCTTGGTTAATCGCTGCTAGTGAGTCTGAGAGGTATCATGATTATTTCCGCTTTCTGTCATAGAAACCCTTGCTGAGATGTGGATTTTTTCCTCTCTGGCCCTTTCAGACTGATCCAACCCAAGCACTGGAGCAGGAAAATGGGAGTGAAGGCCATGCCAACTAGAGCAGGATGGGTTACTTCTGTTGTATGACACACTGTAGAGGATGACTTAAAAAGTGATTGTCATACCTTAGCGCTCTGTAGCGACCAGGTATGAAAAGGATGCCTTAAAAAGTGATTGTCGTACCTTAGCACCCTGCAGCGCAGGGTGAAGTGGTATGAATAAGAATAGTTACTGGGTAACTAACAGGATTAGGGATTCTTCTGTCTTTAGTTAACGGTTTATTTTCTTCTTTAGTACCAGTCCTTGTTGAATGCTTGTGTTTCTTGGTAAAATCCATAAGTACTCAGTCGGATCATTTTTGTTTGCCTGTCCTAGGTTTACCTACGGCCATGCTGGAACAGTCTACAAGGAATTTGTGTACATTTCAGGAGGCCACGATTACCAAATTGGGCCCTATAGGAAAAACCTGCTGTGCTACGATTACCGCACGGATGTTTGGGAGGAGAAGAGGCCGATGATCACTGCCCGAGGGTGGCACAGCATGTGCACCTTACAGGACAATATCTACTCCATTGGTGGCAGCGATGACAACATAGAAACCATGGCTCGGTTTGACATTCTGAGCGTGGAGTCGTACAGCCCTCAATGTAACCAGTGGACCAGAGTTGCTCCTCTGTTGCAAGCAAACAGTGAGTCAGGGGTGGCAGTTTGGGAAGGCAAGATTTATATCCTCGGAGGCTACAGCTGGGAAGAAACGGTCTTCTCTAAAACAGTCCAGGTTTATGATAAGGAGAAAAATAAGTGGTACAAAGGAACTGACTTACCCAAAGCAATTGCTGGTGTGTCTGCATGTGTCTGTGCATTGAAACCCAAAACAGAGGACAAAAAGAAAAAGACGAAAACAAAAAAACATCAAGATCGAGGAAGATGACTACTTCTGGATAACCACCCTTTGATGGTGGACTCCAGAAGGACCTTGTATTTAAGCATTTCTAGTTAACGCCGATTCTTTCTTTTTCTTTTTAAATAGCAGGGGGGGGGCATCTTCTGAAGCCTCAGAAAATGTACAGTTGAATGTGGTTTTTGGATTAAGCTCATGTTTAAGGTAAAAACAACAAAAGAAGCCAAAAAGAAAAAAGTAACCCTCCTACTATATAAGGGGTGATATGGCAGGAGAGGTTATGCTGCTCTCCTGAATGTTAAGGCTTAGTCTTTTACTTCTGTGGTTCATGGCATTTCCACGTACATCATATTATATCGACGTTTTTAAAATAAGGTTGGGCCTGTGGTTGAGATGATAACGTCAACGGGGAGGAGGCAGAGCAGTCAGTGTCTGGTTTGAAGTTACAGAGCAGTTCAAAGGAGTTCAGAAGCAACTGCTAAGAAAAAATGAAACGGATCTTCAATGTTGTAAATGTTGAATTTTCGTAACATTACGTTTCATTTACAATACATTCTTGCGTTGTTAGTATCAGATTTCTGGAACACATCAGTGTTCAAAGAGAATATTGCTTTTGGTGAATGCAGGTCAGATCAGCTTGAAGAGCAAATACCTCCATGGTACTCTTAAGATTAAGAAGACCTTGCTGTGTGGCTAAGAATAGATGGGATTGACTTGGGCTTGGATTGATAGCGTCGTGAACTTCAAGATCTGGGAAAGGTGGGATGACGTACGCATCCCTTGTTGTGGCACTTTTCGTATCTAAACATAATAACAAGTTTTTCTCGGGCTTTAAAACATGCCCCAGAATGAGGAAAAAAAATGTATCTACCGAAGAACTTGAAAGAAGATTTGAGGATTTGGATGGAAGCTGTACAATTGGCCTTGGGCTTCAAAACAGATGGAACTGATAGAGCTCCCTGCGAGTTTGGCATTTGCTGAATGGGGTAACGGTGGGGAGAAATGGCAGGAGGATCCTTCAGGTGAACTTGAAGCAAGACGATGTCCGTCCCCAGCCCCACCAGGCTGAGGAAGCTGGGATCCACTTCGCTTAACTCAGGCCTCCGGGTGGTCACGGCTAGTAGCCAGTGTGAGCAGGGCCCATTCTAGACTTGTCTGCTGTCAAAAAGCTTATTAACCGAGGATGATTAATTGGGGTTCAGTGTTCCTGAGGAATAGCAACTTGGTTTTTTACCTGAGCTAATAGCTCACGCTTTCCTCCTTTTTTTTTTTTTTTTTCCAAGTTCAAAATGTCTTTTCATGAGAGCATGAGAGCAGCCTTTTCTGACTCGAAGCCAGGGCTCATCGGGCATGCAACCAAACACCTTCCCCAGCCAGACGGGTTCAAAAGGAAGAAACCCAAAATACACTCAGGACTGTGTTTGGGATCCAGACAGTGGGACTGAACTGAAAATCGTCCATTAGCTCCTCTGTGTCACGCTACCCTCTGCATACCAAGTAACGATTTCCGACCCAAGTGTTAGTCCACCCTCTACAAACACAGCTGATTCTGCTGCAGATATTAAAATTCCCCGACTGTCTGGCCAGCTTGCAGGCATTCACCCTGGGGCATTTTACAAATGCACCTCTGCTTTGCGAGAAGTCGATCACCAGCAATCTGATACGACCACTTCAGTTATTGTAATAATGCCAGGCCACAGGTTCATCCTCCTCCTTCCCAAAAGAAGAAATTTTTAGAAAGTTTTTAAAAAAACAACTTTTATACTTTTTTATAACACATTTTGCTAACTTGGTCTCGTTTGCCATATGTTGTATTATTTACTCTAGAAGCTCCTGCTCTGTAATCGTGACCCCACTGTTGCCGACAGGAACTCACCGTTTGATGGATCTTTCAGTCTTTGTGTAGTCGGTGGGGATGCGGTGCAGCTGTTCGAGCAGCATTTACATTCTCAGCATTGTCAGGCGGTCAGCTATAATTGTGACTATTGTACGGCCCCTTCCCCGATAGCCCAGCTTGCCAGGCGTGCTCATAAACGCGCTTTATTTTCAGCTATTGGTGATCTGCTGAGTGGGTTTCGAGGGCTTTGGTTTAAAGTTCTGCTGGGGAACTGTTGATTGTTGCTGTTATTTCTTCCTCAGTCCTTCTTTCACATCTCCCTTATGCACCATAACCATGTATTTCAGATTTGTCTTCTTTTCTTTTTTCCCATCTGGGGTACATACGGTTGATAGCCTGCTACCCTCCTTTTCTTTTTTGGTTTTTTTTTTCCCCCCCAACTATTTACCTCAATAATTGGAAAACACTAAGAAAACATTTGTGCACTTAATTTCATTTGAAGCTCTTGTAAACTAAAGAACTCTTAGATATATATTACAAGAACGTATTTGTATTGAAAGAGGTACCTCTGAACAAATTTCTGGAGCGCAAGGAAGTTACACCTTTCTTCTTCAGTGCTAAGAAAGGATTTAAGGCAACTAGTTGAAATTAATTTTGTGAAACTCCTTGAGGTTTTTTTGGTGTTTTAAAAAACCAAAAAAGCCTCAGGATTTAGTCTTTCATTTGCATTAATGGATTTGTTTTAAAGCCTTTGTACACTGCATGAGGTACTGGTTATTCTTTTTTATCCTAAAATAAATTTAAAAAAAAAAAGGAAACAAAAATAAAACAAACATTTTGGTTATGACAAACTCATTAATGAGTTGTTTGGGTTTTTTTATATCTGAAATCCTTGCTATGTTGACTGACAACTACTTAACTTTTTGGGACATTTTCATGTGTAAGTATAGAACAAAAATTTCAAAGACTTGCTTTGTTTCTGTTAATGGGTTGCTTGTTACTATATCCCCCTTTTAATGTGTTTATGTATTACATTAATGTCTGGAAACAATAAACCAGTTTAGAATATGGTATTCATCACTGTCTGACTTGTGTATTGACTTAATTGAGGTTTTCCTTTTTTGATAAATGGGAAAGAAGTAATTTTTGTAATTATTTTTAGGTGGCATTCATAATGGTGGAAACATTTTAATAGGCAGAAGCTAAATGTAGCAATATGAAGTAGAAATACAACTTTTTTGGCTAATCCACCTTTTCTGCATTACGTTCCAAACCAGACAGTCAGAAATTCCTTTTCATATGTTTTGCAGGTGTGACAAAAGACCCAATCCAGTTTATAGAGTGGTTTCAAAGACAGTATTTAATGGGGAGTAGATAACACAGTTATGAGTTCATAACATTAAACCTAATTGCATAGGCACAATATAACCTCAGTACTCATCGAAGTAAGCTTTATTCTTCCCGGTCCATTTATCATCCCTTCAAAAACAGAGGCTCTAAGCGAGGACGGGACATCTCTCATGTTCTTAGAGGTCACTGGGGTATCGTACCTGCTGTTGCCGTAAGCATTTCTCCACTATTAAAGGAAGAAACGATTACCATTTGCACCTGTGAGACCCACGGTAGTAAGTGTTGCCAAAAAGCACAGCCTGGCAGAGTGCCCTTTTGTATTTGGGATGCTGCGTACCCAGACGTGGCTTGTCATCGCTCAGGAAGTGTTAGTCGATAGCACACGATGCTTGAAAATAGCTTAAGCTTCGATGCGTTGAACTGCTTTGTGAAATGGCTCTGCTGGAATTCTGCAAAAATGGAAGGGAGAATACGTATGAGACGAGTGGGTTTCTACTTCGATTTTTGTAGCACAAACAGCCCTTTCGGCGAGTAATTTAAGATGGGTAGAGAAAAAGCGTGCTCTGCTCTGAGCGCATCGGGCTCCTGCACCTGTACATGCCACTGCCTTTATCTGCAAGCTTTGTACAACATCTGACTTCTTGTCAGGAAGCATAGCTCCTTCTTCCTGCCCTGAGGAAAAATAACTACTGCTCTACCTCATTTTAAAAAAGGCTCCTATTGCCAAATTCTGAGGAAAGCTTGTTTTACCTGACACAAAACAGCTACCAAAAACCTCAGGTTTTCTCTTCCCACACTTCCATGCCCGTATCTTGGCATCAGCACATCAAGGAGCTGCTGCCTGTAACGCTGACGTTAGATAACATAAATCCCTCGAGATACCCTGAGGAAAAATTACACCATGGTGTGAGATGCAGTTGTTTGGAAGGCTTGAGAAAGAAGCTGGAAATATTTTTGTTCTCAAGCTGGAATCTTCAACTGAGAAAAATGCGCCCGAGTGTCTGTCTTGCTCCATGAGAGATCAGAGCGCTTTCTTCCAAACACTGCCATTCAGGATTCAGTAGTAAGTGATAGTGTCTCATGTCTAGAGAATTTAAATAAATAATTTAACCTTTAGTACTCTTTTTGAGAAGCAATTTAGCTTGCAAGAAAAAAAAATAATCTCCATTCTAATTGCGATTCTTATCTTGCTGATACGTCTTAATGAAGCTCTGACCAGTAAGAAGTTCCTATGCAAAAAAAAAAAAGTGTGACAAACTTTATATATTATTTTGTTTCAGTTTCTTGTCATAGTTCAGTTCTCTTCCCGTGAATGTAATAATGAGTGGGAAGCTAATTATGTCTTCATGAACTTACGGCTTTGTCTTACGGACCAGGTTGGGGCAGCTGCAGCCCCGTGAAGACGGAGATGTTCTGTCGCTGCACTGTGCAAGTCAGAGCGCAGACGAGCTCCAGCTACTTAGAGTTTCCTTCTCCCTTCCGATAATTCCACTACTAGGTGAGAGACACACAGCCCAGCAGCGGCTTTGGTCATACCATGTGCATTTTTTTGCATCATGCAGGCTCTTTCTGGAACTCAGAATAGCTTTGGGAAAAAATGTACCTTTGTTGTTATCGTGATGGGTTCAGTGACAGAATGTGAAAGGAAGGTGAGATAGAGACTTGCAAGTTCTTTTGAGACTGCAGCCCTAAAACAGACAATTGCCTGAGAAGAGAGAGGGCTTGTACTTAAGATAAGGATGAATGAGTCACAAATTCAGCCACAAGGTCTGCATAGATAATTGAAACACAGAACATCCACATGATCTACTAAAGGCTTGCCCAGCCTTCAGGTTAACTCGAACTAGTCCATGCTTAAGTTCCTTACACTGACAAATGAAACATTTGTTACAAATTCTCAGCAAATTTAGGAATGCGGAGTTTGAAGGCAGGTTTTGCATTAATGCATTTTTTGGAATGAAACACCTCCCGTCGGTGTCCTGCGCTGCTCTGCTCATTGCTTCTACCCGCACAACCGTT